ACGCTACTGCGCTGGACAGCTGCACCGATCAGTCATGGGTGACTGACCAACGGCAGGTGAATGGACGTGGGCTCTATAGATGACGACAGTTATGCATGTCATTAGGATAACAAGTTTGTATCGAGAAATCAATATTTACAAATCACAATAGGCAAGGCCTTGAGCTGTGTTGAACTCTACGAAAGCCAGCAGAACAAATACTCGCATGTGTACATAACAGATATTTGATTCACTAGCCTCATAACATACAACTTGCATATTATCTTGAGTAGTGTAAAGCCAGTCGAAGACGTCCAGCTGTCACAATAACAACACAGACGAGCGTGCCGAGCGCATATAACGCGCAAGTTATTGGATTGCGTGCGTTTCTGCCGATATTCAGAGCGACCGATCGCGATAATACGCCCGTCTGTAAATTATGCGTGGCGCGAACTTATTACACATTGGTTTATCACAAACTACAGCATTTTTTCAGTGTTAAATCAATACATACTAGGAGGCTGTAAGAGATTAAAGCGATACTTCCAGAGTCGGGTATAGTTCAAGCCAAGTTTCTAATGAAAAACAAAAAGTTATCGGCTTTGGGATACCTACTTCCACTTCTTTAGTTTTTGCATAATATTCATAATTGTATTTAACACCTTTATGTGCGCTACGTTATGGTTTAGCAATAAACCATCGAGTACATCCTGTATACTTCCTGCGATTATTCTGATTAGACTTCCCAATACTTTTTGTCCTACTTGCATGGTAATTCCACCATGTTGTATGTAACGAGGTTCGCTAATGAATTTGTAACTGCTTCACGCACCAGTGGCCACTTTCGATTGATTGGAAGACATCAATTGATGACCAGTTTCAATGGATGCTTTGCAGACGAGCGGTTTCAAATTAGTTTACGGGCTATTGAATTTTAAAATTGACATGGTTTATTCAGAAGTAGCAACTCTATTATTGTGTTTTTTTATGTCAGTGGGTTGCTTTACTTTTGGGGAATCATGTCACGGACGCAGGTCGCACTTTAAAATAATTAAAAGAATGGGTTGTATACTTAGTCTCTGCCCACGATCCCACCCGAGTTCTTAAAATGTTAGCTATAAAGTACCAAGAGTTACAATCGCAATTAATTAAGTATTCCTTGTTTTTTTACCTGAAATCGTGATTTAACGATCAACAGTACCTACCTACTGAGCCAAATACGATTTCAATTACAAAGATAAACCATTTAATTAGATCAAGCTTAGGCACTCGAAAGTTTAAAGCTGCATGAAGGTCTCTGAACAAAAACGTACCAGTCAAGGGCGTATCTGTTAATTGTCGATAAAAAGTCGATTTCTGGCGATAACCGTGTAATACGTTTAGTCCAATTAACCTAAAACGCGAAGGCGTGCTATGGCAGGAAGCCAGTTATAGCGAACTGAAGTAGAAACATCAATATCTATAATTTGGCCACAAAATACTCGTAAGTAGTAAGATAAATAGAAGAATCACTTTGCAAAAAACCTTCAAAAACTTAAAAAGCGAGTCTCACAACCAGTGCCGTAACTAGGGCGGTGCCAGCGGTGCCCAGGCACAGGGCGCAGAAATGACCAGACCAGTATCTAGTTTTGTTTCATGCACGCTCTGCACCCCCCCCCCNCAAAAAGGTTACATTTTTTTATATTTCTCGCACCGGGCGCATAAAAGGCTAGTTACGGCACTGCTCACAACTAAGCAAAAAGTTAGTATCAATTCTTAGCTTTCGACGAAAGAATCCAAGAGGATGCACTACTGAGTTAGAGACAAATGAACAAGAATGAAGAAACGAGAAGCTGAGAAGAAAAGGGTTTTCTAACATGTACGTATAGCCTTAAATAGAAGATTAACCGAATCAACATTGACATAGCCATTAGTTTCTTTCAATTTTTAATTTCCCCTTCACTTCATTCATTTTGTGAACAAAGAAAACTTTTACAATTTACCCATCAAACTCAAATTATAATTTGATTCATCATTCAAGGAAGAGACAGTAAAAAAATTGATGCACGCAATTTGACCCAAAATTCGGGATTATTATCATTCCACACGGCAACTTTTCCCCTTTTTAATCCGATTTTCCCTGTTTTAATTTAAATTCCACAAGACAATCAAGTGCAGATGTAATAAATAAATCTGTTTTGATTATCCAGGGCACATGTTGCGTGCCGCTAACTTAAATTCTAGTTAGGAAATGCTATGGCAAAATCATCGGACGGCACGGAAGTGCTTCGGCGATGGTGACAGCAAGATTTGATGGATATTAAAGTTTACAGTAAAGTTTAATACGTCGTAAAGCCGTTTCCATCATGCTAAGGACGGAGTTCGTTCAGGAAAACAATTTCTATAGCGCACTTAGTCTGATTCAGCGCTGGAAAATTGCTCGGTAAAACTTTATCGGTTTTTTAAATGGAGTAGCCTTTCTACTTGCACTATTGCCACTTTATATGCATGTGCGCTGGTATGAAAGAATTCTATTCACAAAAGAATTATAGTTGTGTTATTACTATAAAAGGGGATGATCAAAGAATGAGACAATGGATATTGCCAAGGACTGGTCATCAGGGAATCTGCTAGATAAAACTGGTCACGAATACGAGCAAGGAGTTTTTAGGACAAGTTTAGTGTCAAGTCCAAAATATCAAATCTTAGCTTTGCAACTTTTTTGGACAAAACCGGTCGTTGTGAAAAACCGTGAGGGAAGTACGGTTTTGTAGAAAAAATACCCATGTTACAACTACATGAAGTCTAAGCCCCTCTTTCTCACTTGGCACTCAAGGGATACCTACCCCAAATCGGTGAAATGTTCTATAATTTCCCCTTTTTTTGGAGGAAAGGACCCTCTTGGTCTTAAATGCCTAGGGCCTCTAGTAGGTTAAAGACGGCCCTGATAAAGTCCCACAGTGTTTAGCTTGACGAGCCCTCGTCTGTACTTCGTTTACTAAAACTGCTTAGGGTGGATTCGACCAAACAAGACTAAATATTAATTCTTAGAATAAATTATTGTCAGATTATTTCCCATACTGAAACTGTCTATGAGCCAGTTATACCAGGAGTTATTCTCGGATAAAAGTTGGTCGAATCGGGCCTTAGTCTTGAAATAGTCAATTAGCGCCGGTCTGACCAAACTCCGGATTTAGAGCATCGATCGCGGCAATGAGTCAACACCCGCATTTACATTCTTGTAACACTCATGTTTGTTATTAATTATAGTTTATACAGTTATTGCAGACGGTGACGGCATGCGACGTGTTTGTAATATGGAGGCGTTATTTTCAAATCATTAATTCGAATAATTAATACCTAGAAGATTTACTATTCCAGTGTTTTTCAACCTTTTTTATGACGCGACATAATAGTATGAAAAAAATTTTTGCGACCCCCCGACCGTTCGCTTGTTTTGTCATGCCTTTTACAAAGATGTTGTAGGTACCGAATTCTTCAATCTATACAAGATTTATGCATTTGCTGATTTGCATAATTAGATTTCGTATAAATCTATCTTAAAATTTTACAGATTTTTTCACCGAGACCCCCATATAGAGGCTTCGCGACACACAGGTTGATAAACACTGTACTAATCTGATAGGAATGAACAAGGAAACCTTTGTAGAGTGGCAAATAAGACTCAGAGAAAACAAAAAAAATAATAAGAAAAATACTTGTCAAAATCTGTTTCTTTTCTAATTTTAACATTCTTATCAAAATTTTTTTGTAGGATATACATTTATACTATTTATTAAATGTGATTTTAGAAATTAATTTCTAGGATCTTTAAACAATTTTATGTGCACAAGAAATAAAAAATATCCTTTTGATGAATTCTAATAGTATCTAACGTTGCAACTGCAACCAGGAGAAATTAGTTTTATGTTTGTGTTTGTGCATGTTTTCAATGATTTTGCTTATCAAAAAATCTACATAATATCTATCTTACTTTTAAATAGGCAAAGAAATAGGTAGAAAGATAAATATGTAGATAAAATTATTTAAAAAGTCTTTAGTGAAATTATGTTAAAGTTAATAAAACTTTTAAGATATAAGTTTTCAATTGTTCTAAATAATATTGCAGCTTGAAACCTGAAGAAAGCTATGGTGTGTGATGAATAAATGGATAGCTAGATTAATAAACTACATAAATAGAAAAAGTTGGAATCCAAAGTATTTTCAAATTGCCGGTTCAATCTTTTTATTATTTGGCAAAACTGTAAAACTTTTACCTACCTTCTGAAATTTTAAATTTGTATAAATTATTTTAACTTTACCTCTAAGGTTACTGGTACATGCATCAGTTATAATCTGATTAACTCTTTTTTTTTATTCTAATAAGAATTGTCACGATACAACAAATAAATCTTGACGCTTGCCGTTTAAAATATTGGCTTTGGATTCCAATTAGAATATATATTACTTAAATAAGTAAATAAAGGTGTACTACACATAAGGTGTAAACCTGGAGTGTGGACGGTTGTAGTTGCATTTTGTGTGGACTTTGGGTAAATCGTCTGACACTATCTTACATGGGAGATCACAGCCATCTTCTGGGTCCATGGTTCTTTTATGGAAAAAGAAAACATACTGAAACTTATTGGATGTTTTGCCAGAACAGATGGTACACATTAAAATTGCAAAGGACTGAAATGTTCACTTCATGAGTCACATTTCTAATTATAATTATATGATTAAATTTAAGTATTAAGCTATGAATACGCTTATATTACAGTAGATATTTTTAGGAATTTAAGTAATTCGGAATAAATACATAAACTTAAGTAGATGCAGTAAAATTACAGCCGATTATAGTCAGATTTGAATGAAGAGATTTTACACACAAGCGGAAGGACAACAAAGCATCAAGCATTAACAAATTACACCGCATACAGTAATAACATTCAATCGATAACATTATGCGGCATTATCCACTATTGTTTATTTTTCAATGTCAATATCAAAAATTTAGGGCACATTTAGGTTATAATACTTACGACTAAAGGCCTTTTTCTTCGCCGGTGATATGCGGACGAAGTTTAATTTTTCACTAATAATTTCACATTTCTAATTTTTCAAATACTTTTTACCTAATTTCTATCACTAAAATATTTTACAGAAATTTTGATAGATCCATTCTCATGTTTCAAATTTAGCAACACGCACGCGCGTTGCGCTCTTGCGGATTATTTTTACGGATGCGTTCAGTCAGTTATTTTTTATTTGTTGCGAACTCAAAACTTTTGTTGTTTTTTTAAAGTTAATTTATTCGATGTACGAATAGCCAAGCGCTTTTCGTAATTCAATTAATTTAAAGGTATCCTATTCACGTGAAAAATGTTTTTTGTTGTTGTATCTATCACTTCCCTCAATCTGAAGAGCTGCCACTCGAGGCGATCTCGAAACAGGAAGCAGGTGTCGGCCTGGCTGACTCTTGATCAGAGGAACGGTTCGAACCCTGCTGCTGCTTGTGGTGAACCCATCATCATCATCATCTCAGCCATAGGACGTCCACTGATGAACATAGGTCTCCCCCAATGTAATGTTACCCGGTTGGTAGTACCTAGTGGTGAACCCACTAGGTACTACCAGGTGGTTTCTAATCAAGCATAATTTAGCTTAACGCTAGGGGTAAGGAGATTATGCAGTTTGATTGCACCATCATAAATGGCTTATACCATGGAGGCAGGATTAAGTCAGTGGCTCATACAGTCAAAAACCAAAGTGCTAGTAAATATTTATTAATACGACACAAATCAAGCACTAGGCGTAGTAGCTGAGGTTGGCCTTCTTCTTGGCCTGCACCTCGAGGATGGCGTCCATGAAGTCCTCGTGCGTGACGGCGGTGGCGGAGCGCCGCAGCGCGATCATGCCGGCCTCCACGCACACCGCCTTGCACTGCGCGCCGTTGAAGTCGTCCGTGGACCGGGACAGCTCCTCGAACGTTACTTGGGTGGAAATTAGTTTAGACGCTCATTTTACAAAGCTTATGCCCGTTTTCACACATAAGGCATTTTGTTTTCATAGGGGTCACTTAAAAATTAGGGATTAATAGTGAAAACGGGTTTTAGCCACTCAGTTTGGGGACTAGGTGGCGATTTTCGCATCCATCACTCTTTCTCTATTTACGGAGCCACCAAGTATCATCACCTAGCTGACTCGTGATCTAACGCGGGTTCGAAGTCAAACCCCGCTGCTGGACTATAGTCATGAAACCACTCGAAACAAGCATTTTAGCTTACCATGAAAGGTTGACGGGATTATTCAGTCAGTCAATATTGATTTGCACCCACCTAAGGGCCTCCTTTAAAACTTGCGCGGGCACCCCTATGCGGTTCAGTATCTAAAAATAGTATGAGCAGCGCCCGCGGGTACACCCGCATACCATACATTAACCCGCGGGGTTTTTAGCAGGGCCCTAAATCGAATGGTTGGTCCCAAAATGCTCACACAATCAAAAACCAGAATGCTAGTAAATATTTATTATTATTAATACGACACATAACACAAGCACTAGGCGTAGTAGCTGAGGTTGGCCTTCTTCTTGGCCTGCACCTCGAGGATGGCGTCCATGAAGTCCTCGTGCGTGACGGCGGTGGCGGAGCGCCGCAGCGCGATCATGCCGGCCTCCACGCACACCGCCTTGCACTGCGCGCCGTTGAAGTCGTCCGTGGACCGGGACAGCTCCTCGAAGTTCACGTCGGGGCTCACGTTCATTTTTCTGAAGAAAACATATTTATATTTAGAACTAAAGTGATATTATTCGCTCGCGCTTAATTAGGTATGTTGCTGTCGCGCTCGCACACTCACTGCGGGCGCCCGTCGCACAGTCGCGACAGCAATATAATTACGCACGAGCGATAAGGATGGGTAGCTTGGAGTCATTGGACAAAATTCTACGTACTCACGGACCGGGCTTTAGATGACGCGGCAAAACGCACGATTGCATGTGCACAAAATTTGCACATGCAGTCGCGCGTTGAACTTGTCTAAGGATGGGTAGCTTGGGGTCATTGGACAAAATTCTACGTGCTCCCGGACCAGACTATAGTATCTCACGATCATGCGATTCCAAACGCGCGAATATAAACACGTCACCTGGACCAGCTGAGCTGATCCGGATGACCCATTTTGTTATTATACAAAACGCGCGACTGCATGTGGACAGAATGTATTAACCTCTAATACATCAATAACACACCATCTGGACTAGCTCTTAGTGATATTACATTGATATGTTCGAGATGGCAATCCAATTAACTATTTTCACCCCAAAATTTTTTTATCAAATAATAATAAATGGTACCTTGAGTGGATCTGCATGATCCTAGCCCTGGCTTCTTCATTGGGATGTGGGAACTCAATCTTCCTGTCCAGACGACCAGATCTGAGCAGAGCAGGGTCCAAGATGTCTACTCTGTTTGTGGCAGCAATGACCTGAAGAAAATAAATATTTGGTTATAATATTTTTATGTATCTTGCCTGCCTCAAGGGATCATAGAATACATAATTTAAAGAAGTTTCCAGTAGAAGCATATGCAGACGTGATTAAGAAATAACAAAGATATTCCTGTTTAGGTACAGATGACAGCACAGTTCAAGCTACACACAGTGGTGTCTTATGACGTTGGAATATAAACATTTTTTTTACAAAAATGTACAGTCTAATGTGCTGTTGACTGATCTTCTTTAAGTTACAGGCTGCTTTGGTTGGTAGGGGAGAAGACGTAGCAGTAAGATTACTAGCTTCCATTAGGGATTATAAACGGTGCAGTCCTGTTGTCCCCCCTGCTTGGCCCCCCTAGGGGAGCCAACAGGATTTCGAAATCCTGGGGACAACAGGACTGCACCTTATAAACAAATTATAACCAAGAATAATCTGGTAATGTTCACCTTAATATCAGCTGTGGAGCTGAAGCCATCCAGCTGGTTCAGCAACTCCAACATGGTTCTCTGCACTTCACGGTCACCAGCCTTCTCAGAGTCGAAACGCTTGGTACCGATGGCATCCAGCTCGTCAATGAAGATGATTGCTGGTGCCTTCTCCTTGGCAAGGGCGAAAGCGTCGCGGACGAGTTTAGCACCATCACCTGTGAATTAAAATATATTGTCTGAACAACTGTGATTAAAGAATTTAATTTAAAAAGGGAAATATACAAGTTGGCAGAAGGAAACCTGATAACATAAGAGAGTAAAGAGAAAAAGGTTCACTTCTTTTACATTAAAGATCCATTCATGTCAACTATTTTTCAAACCAAATCAAAATATTCATACCTTACAAATTAAATATTACTCAGCTATTATCCTATTGGTGTGGAAATTTTTAATAATGCATTGACTTATTTACAAAGTGAGATTTGTATCTGGGCCAGCCAGATCATTGTCATGAAACACATATAAGCCATTCCAGCTCCCTTACCAATAAACATCTGTACAAGCTGCGGTCCAGCCAGCTTCAAGAATGTAGACTTGGTCTGGGCGGCACACGCTCTGGCCAGCAGGGTCTTGCCGGTACCGGGGGGCCCGTACAGCAACACACCCTTGGGTGGGTGGATGCCGAGGTTCACGAACTTCTCCTTGTGCGTCATTGGGAGTACTACTGCTTCAATCAGTTCCTGAAATATTTACAATAAATTGATTTACAAGTCTGGGTGGAGAGATAGAATTTAAAAAAACCTACCCTCTGACTAAATATTGAGTGCAAAAACATTATTGCACACACAAGACAAGAAAAGAAAGGACAGATATTTAGAAAATGTGATATTGTATTTGATATTATTTTTTACTTGGTACAGTGTAGTTACTTTAAGTTATGGGTAAATGATAGAAACAAACCTGAATTTGTTTATCCAGACCTCCAATATCTGAATATTGCTCTGTGGGACGCTCATCCACTTCCATAGCCTTCACTCTTGCATCATACTCCGCTGGGAGTGTCTCCAAAATGAGATACGAGTCTTTGTTGACACCAACTAGGTCTCCAGGCTTGAGTTTTTCTGCGTCTACTAACCCAATCACTGGCAAAAAGTAGGTCTGTCTTGTGGAGGTTTTGATAACAGCGCACTTTCCTTTCCTCTGGGAATCCAAATCAACGACGGCGCCATCTTCCTCCTCTTCTTGTGGATCTACATCCAACAGCTCTATGACGTTGGAAACAAGGTACGGGAGGGTTTTGTTCACTTTGATCTTCTCAGTGTTTTCCTTGATTTTCTCGTTCTGGGCCTGCAGCTCGTGTGTAATCCTCATGACTTCGCTCTTCATGATTTTGATTTCATTGTCTAGAAGCCTGGTGCGGCTAATAATTTCATCTGTGGGCATTCGCAACACTTCCTCACTGAGAGCCTCCTCTCCATCCTCCCAGATAGATTTATCTTCAAGGGTTGTGGCCATTGTGTCTCTTTTGATTTATAAAACTAGTTTTAGTGCAGATTTTACGTAAAAAACTCAAGACAAAACTCAGTTTTCCCAAACAAATAAAATTCCCGAGTCACGAAAAATGAATTGTCATTTTATTTTGGGGTTACCATTTTATGAATTCTATGAAACTACCAAAAGCTACTAAAAGTTTTATTTTTTAAGATGAATGACGGGACTTTCGAGCGTGTATATAGCCGTGGCATTAAAAAACGTGTATACCGTGCCTTATCTTCACCGCCGCCGCCGCTTGCCTGTCTGTCATGTCAATCTGTCACACTTGTCTTGTCTCGTCCTATCTGTCAAAATTCGCGAATTTCGAAAAAATCTAGTTCTCAGCTTGGAAGTTTATTTAGATAATACTATTTTATTATCTTCGCGTGTGTTTTTTCCAGACTCTTATTTCTCACAATGGCATTCTCAATGTTTGCACGTTCTTCAGGTAAAATTCTGTACACGTATTTCTTTCTAACCATTCATTACATAACATTGTTGTTATTATTTAAATTATAGCTGTATTTGGCTTATTTGCACGTTATAAATATAAGTAACGATCTTAGCTGGTTGTAATGCTTCATAGGAACATCACAGAATGTCTTTAAAACAAAATTGGGTCTCATCTAGGTTATGTTTTTTTTTGTAAATATTTAGTTCCTTTCCATAAGGTTCCATGGTAAAAGTTATAGTTTAGTATTATTATAGTGCCAAAAATTACTTTAGTAAATTGGTTCTCATGAAATTTCTTTAGAAATTTGAGCCTCTGTAGTTTTACAATATTTTATCAATTTCTTTCTTCAAGTATACTTACACAGTAGACAAACTAAGGTATCATATATTGGGTTCGTGTAAACCTCGTACCTCTCCCCTCTAGCTTATAATATTTTGAGACAAGTTTATTTAGTTTGATAACTTATGTTTAACCAAGTTGGTGCATGAGATTTCAATAACAAATTATGTCTATTATGTTTTGGGTCTTCTTTGTAGGTACATAAGGGTTTAATATTGTCACTGCTATTAAACCTTACTTTAAATAGTATCCTATAGTTCTGAATGTTTTTATTGATATTTTAAAGTGAATACTGGTGTACGACAATTACTATCATTTTTTTAATATTCCAAAAAGCTATCTCAAATCCTATACAAATTGATTGTAGATAGTTGTATGTATTACAATAACATTATTCATTGTTCTAATTGTTGTTTACTTTGCTATAGCAATGGAAACATTACTGCATGTCACCATATTATGCAACCCAGTATTCTCCCTTTGACTAATTAATATTGAAATCAAGAGCAGTGCTAGTAATTAAAGTTATTTGTTTAATTTTACAATTTTATGCAAGTTGAGTTATTAGGCATAATGCATCTCTAGTAGATCCAAAATTATCTAGTATGTTAGTGATATTTATAAAAACATAACCCACTTCTGGCACAGTTGGGTAATAAAATTATGTTAATATTAGTGTGTGTAAAAATGTAAAGTATGAAGACAGTAAATAAAACATGAAATGGCACAAGGCATAAAATAACCATCAATTCAAATCAAATAAAAAAAAACTACTAAGTTTTTTAGAATTAGGACTGCAAAAAAGTTTTGATTGTTGTTTTTAATAAGAAAAATATTTGTTTTTCCAGCATGCACAAACCGCGTGTTCGGCCAACAGCTGATGCGCTTCGCCACGCAGTCTGCGCTCGCGCAACGCAACGCCGCCAGCGCCCTCTGCGTTAAGAGTCTAGCGGCTAAAGAGTCGAAGACGCCCATTTTGGACTCTGTAAGTACACTAGGCGTCACTTTCAGCAGCTTTATATCGCGGGAGACTGACTTTTTTTGAGGTAGCAACTAGAGCAAGGTGTTAAGCGACTGCGTTGCGTGAATCCAGCCACTAGAATTGTTGTGCGACTTAGCACGACATGACTGGCAGCTTAAGTTTGTACAGTAGAAGCAGAAGGCAGTGGCGGATTTACAGTTTTGCCGCCC